CAATCCTCCAAATGGGGAGCCAGGATCCATCCGCAGCCCCAGGGCCCAGGGGTCCGGCCACCCGGGCGGGGCAGCTCCGTAATAAATAATGGAGTTGTGGGCAGGGGGTCAGGGCTGTTCCTGCTTCTTCTTGACAGAAATCCGCTTCTTCCTTGCCGCCAGCATCTCATAGAAGGGGTCCACGCTCACAGCTGCCCTGTGGAGGGGAGGGGGTCCCAGGGTGAGGACCAAGGAGTCGGGGCCCCAGCCCTCCCCACCTGGGGCTCCGGAGCCCAGGCTCACTGGATGGACTTGATCCACTCGTCCTTCTCCTCCTGCGTGGGGGCCGAGATGCGGTAGACCATGTGGTTCCCTTCCACCACCCGGCCGTCCGCCTCCGTCTTGCAGGCTTTGATGAGCTGCCCCTTGTTGTTGGGGATGTAGAGCTCGAAGCAGTTCTGCGGGGACGTGGGAGAGGACGGACGCAGGTAAGAGGCAGCCTGGGGCCAGAGGAGCCGTCGCCGCGGCAGGAGGGGTAGAGAGGGGGCCTTACTGGTTTCCGGGGGTCGTCCACCTCTCGGATGCTCAGATTCTCCAGGGGGATGATTCCTCGGGGCTCCTTGTCCTGAAAGAACAAGTTGGACAAGACTCAGTCACCACTAGTCTCCTCCTCCCTCAGACCCGGGAGTCCATCCCTCAGCCCCTCCTCCCTCAGACCCGGGAGTCCATCCCTCAGCCCCTCCTCCCTCAGACCCGGGAGTCCGGGCCCCAGCCCCTCCTCCCTCAGACCCGGGAGTCCGGGCCCCAGCCCCTCCTCCCTCAGACCCGGGAGTCCGGGCCCCAGCCCCTCCTCCCTCAGACCCGGGAGTCCATCCCTCAGCCCCTCCTCCCTCAGACCCGGGAGTCCATCCCTCAGCCCCTCCTCCCTCAGACCCTGGAGTCCAGGCCCTTAGCCCCTCCTCCCTCAGACCCAGGAGTCCATCCCCCAGCCCCTCCTCCCTCAGACCCAGGAGTCCATCCCCCAGCCCCTCCTCCCTCAGACCCAGGAGTCCAGCCCCAGCCCCTCCTCCCTCAGACCGGGAAGTCCAGGCCCCAGCCCCTCCTCCCTCAGACCCAGGAGTCCAGGCCCCAGCCCCTCCTCCCTCAGACCCAGGAGTCCAGGCCCCCAGCCCCTCCTCCCTCAGACCCAGGGGTCCCGGCCCCCAGCTCCTCCTCCCTCAGGCCCAGGGGTCCGGGCCCCAGCCCCTCCTCCCATGGCCCCAGAGCACAGCCCGGCTCCACCCTCACCGTCGTGTACTCAAAATAGTAGAGGCAGTTGTCTGTGAGGATAAACCAGCGCCGCTTCCACGTCTTCACCCGGCCCCCTGAAAGGGAAGGGGTGGGAGGGGGCCTGGGCTCAACAGGGGGACAGGGCCTCTGGGAGGGCGGGGAGGGGAGTGAGGCAGAGCAGCGCAGGGAAGGCGGGGCTGCGGGGCCTGGGACAAAGCGACGCGTGGGAAGAGACAGACAAGCAGGGACAGGCGTGTTCGGGCCCACCCCCAGCATGGGGCTCTCTGCTTTCTAAGCCTGTCTGTCGGCCCAGCGCCCAGGAGTCCGGGCCCCCAGCCCCTCCTACGGGCTCCTGGGGGCAGCCCCTCCCCTCGTGTAGTGTCGGGGAGCGGGGACGGGGCCGTGTACCTACCTCCTGGGGCAGACAGCGAGAAAGCAGGCAGGACCAGGCGAGGAGAAGGGAAGGCAGAAGAATGGGGTGCCCCCAAGAGCCGCAGGAGACAGAAACAGGGTGGGTGAGGGGGGAGTGCGCAGGGGGCGGGAGGGAGAGACAGCAACAGCAGAGAGAAACACGCAGAGAGGAGAGGGAGGGAGAGAGAGGGAAGAAAACCAGTTACATCCACACGAGGGAGGAACAGCCAGACCCTCTCCCGCCCCGGGAGGCCGAGGACCCGAGCCCACGGAGGGCCACGAACACCTCCTTGCGTCAGTGCCCGGCTCCAGCCCACCCCCAAGGACAGGTCCTAGCCAGGAGGGCCCTCCACTGCCACAGTGGAGATGTCTCTCCCTGGAGCTCATCCCACAAGACAGAACCCCCAGTCCTTGGCCTGGGGTAGGCGTGGGGACTCATGTCAGCTCCAGTAGAAACTGGCTGTGTGACCTTAGGACCACCTCTTGCCCTCTCTGGACTCCAATCTGGAGATGCACTTGGGCCCACACCTTCCTGCTTCTGGGTTCCTTGTGGTCCCAGGAAGATTAAATAGTAACAGTAACAACGGCTTTTAGGAACCATCTTTGGGGATATAACCCCCAGCACAGACTTCCCTGCCTCTCTTCAGTGTTTTAAGGAAGAGCTGCCTTTTCTAATGGCCACAAAGCAAAGAGATCTGGTTTCAAGGCCACCTCTGCCCTGTGGCTGTTGGATGGTGACCGAGCCTGTTTCCTCACCCAGGAACTGGGAAGGACGCCTGCAGGTGGGAGTGGTCAGGAGGGGCCCTGGCTCCCAGTGAAGCTGGCCCTCCTGCTTTCCTCTCCTTCCTGCCCACTCCCTGCCAGGGGCGCCGCCTGGAGCTGAGGCAGGAATCCACCCGCCAGCGTGCTGGCTGCAGGGAGGGGTCCGCGTTGTTGACGGGCGCCAGGACACCTGTGCCCCAGGACACCTGTGCACCCGGCCGGCGACCTGCCTTGGCTGCTGGGGCCTTGGCCTCAGAGCACAGCTCACAGCGGGAGGGGAGAGGCGCCCTGGAGGGAGCAGACCCTCCATGGCCGGCGCTGGGCTGGAAGCTTCCCCGGGGCCCCGCGCTGCCTCCACGGTCTACACTGGACTGTAGCTCCTCACCCGACTGTCTCCCTGGAGCCACCCTTCGCCGCTTCGCCATCAAAAAGCCACAGCCGGCACTCCCGGGGGGCGTCTACTACCAGGTGCGGCTCACAGCCGGCGCCACTCAACCTCGGCTCCACATTGGAGGCCGCTGGGAGCTTTCAACGTGACGGCCGGCCCACCCGGCCCCCGAATCCTGACTTCACGGTCTGCGGCCGGGCCAGCGGGGCTCCAAAGCTCCCTGGGGCGTCCCGTGTGCAGCCAGGGCTGAGAGCCACTCAACCCTCAGATGACCCCTCGAAAGGGGCACCTGTATAACCCCTGCTAACTCACCCTGCATTTGCTGGTGCCACGTGTCTCAAGGTGGACTGGCCCCACGTTGCCACGGCCAGCTGGGGACTCTTAGTCCTAAGCACAGAGCCGGGCATGAACCCCGTGCTCCCTCACCCCTTCTCTGCACCCACCAATGTTTACGGAGCCCCTCCTCAATGCCAGGCCCTGTGCCTGCACCCAGCACATGGGCCTGATCTTGTATCCAACCCCATTGTGCAGATGTGGAAAGTGGGGTTCAGAGGTCGAATCACTTGCCTAAGGTCACACAGCAGGTATGTGTGTAAGCCAAATCCGCAGCCTGGCCCCCTAACTTCTCCCAGCAGGGTCAGGAGGGGACGTACCCAGCTTAAGGAGCCAGCCCTCCCGGTCCGGGTTGAAGAAGGTGTGGGTCAGATCGTTCCCGTCATCCTCAGGAATCTTGAAGGGCTCATTCCGGATGCTGTCGTAGAGGTTCTGAGGGGCAAAGGCGCAGTCAGCAACTCCAGGCCCCGGGAACCCTCCTGGGGCTACATGGCATGGGAGGGCGGTGCTCCAGCAGCCACGGAGGCAATGAGACCACGGGTGGGACGGGTGGGACGGCCCCCAGAGGGAGGGCGGGTGGAGAAGGAAGGAGGCGGCTGGGGAGGAAAGGGAAGCGGAAGGCAGAAGAGTGGAGGGAGCCCCAGGGAGGAGAGAAAAAGAAGATGTAGAGAGAACAGACACAGTTGGAAGAGGCTGCTAGTTCTCAGAGAGAAGCAGACAGACAGGTGGAGAAAGAGACAGACCAACACCCAGAAAGAGTCAGAGGGCCAGAGTGACCACAAAGAGAAAGCCAGAGACAAAGGCAGAGGCAGCCAGAGAGAACGAAGGGAAAGCGACAGGATGGCGTCCGTGGGAGGGGCGGTGATCCCTGGCGGACGGCTCAGGCTCAGGCACAGGGGACCGGGGGAGGGTCTGTGGCAGGAAGAGGACAGGGCTGAGGGGCTGTGGGGAGGGGGGGGGGCCTGACCCTGAGTAGCTCCTCAGGCAGGTCCCCGCCCTCGTTGATGCCCCGGTTCATGGCCACAAAGCGCTCCAGGCCCGGCTTGTCCCGGACGTTGGGATTGTGAAGGCTGGTGTTCAGCATGATCACGGCGAAGGACAGCACGTAGCACGTGTCTGCACCGGACAGTCACGGGGTGATGACACAGGTATGTGGGCCCCCGGCCCTCCTTCCCAGGCCCCAGACCCCAGGCCCCCACCTGTGGACTGGAAAACCCCGGGGTTGCACAGGCAGTATCGCTGGGCGAAGGCTTCCATCATCCGGTCAATCTTCTGGGCCTCTCCAGGCAGGCGGAAGCTCCACAGAAACTGCCTGGGTTAGAGAGGGGCCAGGGTGGGTGCCAGGACTGGCAGAAGCCCCTCCTCGCTCTCCATGGGTGTGAGGAACTGGCAGTGAGAGCTCCAAACCTTGTGGCCTCAGTGGCTGTGTCAGGTATGGACACGTGATCCAATCTGACCAATGAGCACTGGCTGTGGGAGTTTTCATGGATTTATACAGAAATAGCCTCTTTCTTTCTGCTAACGTTACTAAACAGATCTGATGGTTGTTAGGAGCTTCTGTTATCATGTGGGAGGAGGGTCTGCAGAGAGCAATGCCAACACAGTGGCGAGCACAACCGATAGATAAAGTTGACCTTCTGACACCATTTGAACACCTGGATACAGCTATACCTGAAGCAGACACTACTGTGGACATTTGCATTGCACAAGACAATCAATCTACTAATTTTTGTTTCTGTTCCTTTTTTGAATAGAGGTCATCAATTGTAAAGAAAGCTCTGACAGATATGCTCCTGCCCTTCCAAGCCTGTCCTTCTCACCTGAGGGCCTGTACCAGATTGAGGTCGGTGAACTCATGCAGATCCACAAAGGCGTGGAGCACTGCCAGGTTCAGCTCTTCCCTGGGAGGAGAGGGACAAAGCCATGTCAGGAAAAAGTTTGGGGAGGTGGGAGTGGGAGTGGACCGGAGGCAAAGCCTTGGGGAGGCTGTGCCACCTCTTCTGCACAGTGCTGCCTCCATAGGGGGTCAAGTTTTGATGTGGCCCCATCACTGGCCTGGCACGCAGGCAGGGATATCCAGAACACTCTCTGGGGAGGACCATCTGTAGGAGAACCCTGGCTTGGCTGGACCTTTGTACAGTTGGGAGACGCAGCGCAAGTGTGGTCTGCCTACTGTGACCTCTCTCACATTCCGCAGATGTCCAGAGAGGGCTCCCACTCCCTCAGATGCCCATGGACAGTCCCCACGCATCCCAGATGTCCACAAAACGGTCCCCACACACCCCAGATGCCCACAGACGATCCCCACACACCCCAGATGCCCACAGACGGTCCCCACACACCCCAGATGCCCACAGACGATCCCCACACACCCCAGATGCCCACAGACGGTCCCCACACACCCCAGATGCCCACAGACGGTCCCCACACACCCCAGATGCCCACAGACGGTCCCCACACACCCCAGATGCCCACAGACGGTCCCCACACACCCCAGATGCCCACAGACGATCCCCACACACCCCAGATGCCCACAGACGGTCCCCACACACCCCAGATGCCCACAGTTGGTCCCCATATGCCTCAGATGTCCATAGATAATCCCCAGACATCTACAGATGGCCCCCACATCCCCAGATGTCCACAGATGGTCCCCAGACATCTGCAGATGTCCACACAGGTTCCTAGACATCTACAGACAGTCCCTACATCCCCAGTCTCCATGCACCCCAGATGTCCAGAGATGGTCCCCGTGCACCTCACATGTCCAGAAAGTTCCACACACCCTAGATGTGCACACAATCCCTAAGCACTTGACATTCACAGATGGTCCTGCGCACCTCAGACATCCAAACATTCTCCACGCACCCCAGACGCTCCCAGATGGTCCTCAGGTTTCCCAGACTTCACAGAGGGTCCCCATGCACTCCTATGTCCAGTCTCACAGCCTCTGAGATGGTCCCCACACCCCAGAGGTCCACAGGTGGTCCTCACGCTCCCAGATGTCCTTGGGGTCCCTGTGCTCCTGGATAGTGAGTGACGGTCCCCACACTTCCCAGCTGTCCACAGTTCCCATGCGCACCAGTTGTCTACACATGGCTCGCATGCTCCCATGACACGCAGATGTTCTCCACTGTCCCCAGACCTAAACGGAGGGTCCCCACATCTCCCAGATGTCCACAACGGTCCCCAGGAAGCTCACAGGCGGCCCAGGCTGCCCGAGGCCCCTGTGTCGGTGCCTTCTGGCAGAGTCCAGTGGGAAGGCCGGTCCCTCCAGGCCTCGCCTTGGGAGAGGAGCTGCGGTGTGAGGGCAGGAGCTGGGGGCGGGGCCGTGGGGAGAGGCCCAGAGAGCGGGCCGGGTCTCACCTCTCCCCGAGGTAGTCCCCGATGGCCGTCTTGTTCAGGCCCTCGCCCTTGTACAGGAAGCGGGCGATCTCCTCGGGGGTGTTCTGCAGAAGTTCGTTCTCCACCAAGAACTGGATCCCCTGGTAGGTGGGGGCCGGGTCTCAGTGCTGACAGCCAGGACGCCACTGCCCGCCACCTCCTCGGAAACCTCGGCAGCCCAAGCCACCCCCATCCTCGACCAAGCGGGGCCAGGTGTCATTTTCAGGCGTCTTATAGGTCCTTAAATACCACCCCTCCCACCTCATAGCCTTTGCTCCTACTGTTCCCGCTGCTTTGCCCGGTTAATTCCAGCACCAAGAGCAGGAGCAAGAGCTCGTTTGTTGAATGACTGAACAAACTACATTGCTTCGGGTAAGAAGAATAAGGTGAGAAACTACTAGCAGACAGCAGTCCATCAAGGGCTGTGAGCGCCAAGCTTTGGGCTGGACGGGGGCCTTCTCTGGCTCTCCCTATGCCATGAGGACCTCCATTATAGCTCTCTCTCTTTAGACTGTGGTATCCATGTCTTGGGGCTCCCTGAGGGCAAGCTTGGGTCAAACTCTGAGTCCCCAGCATTGCCTAGCAAAGGGGCAGGCCCAAGGAAGCCTCAGGAAATGGGTGTAAAATGAATGACTGAATGCACAAACATCTTTCCTCCACCTGGTGAACACTGACTCATCCTTCGAACCTGATCTGAATGTCCCCTCCTCAGGGAAGCCCTCCCCGACTTCCACAGCCCCCAGCACCTCCCTCTGCCACGGCACTTGTGAACCCTCTGTCATTGTCCATGTTCCCTACTAGACTCAAGCTCCCCCTGGGACTCTAGGTGACACCAGAAGCGGGTCCAGAAATAGGAACAGAAAGGGGAAGAGGACCTCCCAGGCAGAGGACACAGCAGAGGCAAAGGTCAGGAGGCTGGAGCACTTGGCTAGTGTTCAGAGGACAAACGGACAGTCACCATCTGAACCCAGGGATCAGGACCAAGTCTGTCCACCTAATGGAGACCTTTAACCGTCACACTTCTGGAACCTGGAAGTGCCAGGAACCTGTCTGGATGTCTGCCCGGCTGATCCCAGCCCTGTGGCCCCAAGCACCTTTTTGGGGTCCATGTTGAACTTCTTCCTGCCCATTGCCATCTTCCGGTTCCGTTGCAAGGTCTTACTGCAGGGGCAGAGAACGGGAGACGGAAAGTCAATCCTGGGCATCCCCAGCCTGGCCTGGTCCCATGACCCCCAAGTCGCCTACCCCGGCCCTCACCTGCCCTCATTGGCCTCCAGACCCTCCACCTCGCTCATGGCTTCGCTGAGCTCCTCCCGCAGGCGCTGGATCTCCACCAGCAGCTCCTGCTTCCGCCGCCGGATGTTCTCCAGCTCCATCCGCTCCTCCGGCGTCAGGTCTGGGGGCTCTGGGGGCCGGGATCAGGGGTTGGAGGTCAGTTTTGGGGACTGGGAGCCTGGAATCCTGCCATCTGGGGGAGGCCACGGCTGGGGGAGGGGAGCAGGACTCCCAGGTTCAGGGGGAAGATGAGGATGAGGATGAGGGTCGGGCCTCCTATGTCTGCAGGAGGAAGGGGCTGGGGGCCTGGATTCCTCAGTCCAGGGGAGGAAGGGCTGGGATCTAGATTCTCCAGTCCTGGAGGAGGAGGGGGCTTGGGGTCCGGACTCCTGAGTCTAAGGGGGAAGGGGACCGAGAGCCTGAACTCTTAGGTCTGGGGAAAAGAAAGAGCTGGAAGCCTGAACTGCTGGGTCCATTACTTGGAGGGGGGCTGAGGCCTCGGTTTTCCGCCTCCATTGCTGGCGAGGCGGCCGGGGGCCGGGGTGTCCTGACTCCCGGGTCCATGGGCAGTAGCTACGGCAGGGGACGCGGATGAGGCAGGGGACGCGGATGACAGCCGGGAAGAGTTGGGGAAGGGGCGGGGTCTCTGCAGCACCCCCGTCCCCTGCCGCCCCCCTCCCCGCTCCCGGCAGGCCCTGGGCTCGCCCGGCCCCTCCAGCGGGAATGGTCCCGCCCCGGCCTCGCCTCCGCCGCTCCATCCCGCCCCCTCCCGCCGCCACCGGAAACAGGATCGGCCCAAACAATGGCCTGGAACGCCCCGCTCTCGGGCCCCGCCGGAAGCCCGGCCCGCGCCCCGCAAAGGCGAGGCCACCGGGGCCCGAAGGGCTCGCGCCCGCCCGCAGGGATGTTCTCGGAGGAACGTTCGGGACGGAACGCTCCGTCCGCGCGCCGCCGGCCCCGCCCCTCCCTGACCTACCATAGACACCGTCCTCCATGGCGGCTAGGAAGGCCCGCGGGGAGTCCGGGGCGGTCCCGCCGGTCGGGCCTGGATCCGCGCTGGCCCGCGGGCTCGGGTGAGCCCGCTCAAACGCCCCGGGAGCCACCGCCGCCTCCTCAGCGCCAGTCCTCAGCGCTGAAAAGACTCTCCCTTCGCCTCCCAACCGCCCCGCCAGTAGGGACCGCCCCTCGTTTTGACACCGTCCAATCCACGACGTGCCCTCTCGTCTGCTCCGCCCCCGACGCCGAAGGATAGTCCTCCAGGGCCAATAGGCGCACAAGGAGCATACGTAGCCATGTCCGGCCGGAGGTAGACGGTCTGGGGGGCCAATTGGAGCGCGGGAAGGGCGCCTGGCCCCGCCTCCGAAACAAAAGAAGGCACTTGGCTGGCTGGCCCGCCAATGAGAAGCCTCAGAAGGGAATTGCATGGGGGGGCTTATGCGGCGCAGAGAGGACTGCGCCTGCGCAAGGGCTCTGGGCTCTAGGATACTAATTCAATAGAGCCCCGCCCCTAGCAAGGCGTTGCTGGGGGGCGGTACTTTGTTAATCTTGTTGCCAGGGGGCGGGACCACGACTGCCGGTTGTTTCGGTGAGCCACACCTCCTAGCAGGCCCAGCTGGCGTTTGACGGCAGCGGTTGCCAGGCAACCAGGAGCAGCTTTGGCTCACCTTTCTTCTGGCCTCCTTCCTCCCGGCACTGGCCTCTGCGATACTCAGACCCTTTTCCTACCCCGTCCTCTGACCCCATCCACCTTAGCCTCTTCAGAGTCAAAGCGTGGTGGAACAAAAGATTTATTCTTTCTCCCAAATGCTACGCTCTTTGGCATCTGTCATGGAGAACGGGACAATAGGGGAAAGCCGAATATAGAGAAAGCACAGGCTCCGCCTTCCTGGCGCCGTCTGCCTCTCAGGCTCCTCCCTCTCTCCCTAAAACTCCTCCCCTTACCCTAGCATCCCCCTAAGACAAACCGCCTTTTCCTCAGCACCCTCCCACCTCTGATTCCTTCCCCCTTCTCAGAGTTCTTTCCCTCCGCTCCGACTCGCCCCCCCTTACTCCCCCTCCTCTTATACTCTTGGCTCATCATAAAGTCCTCCCTCCTCTCGGAGTCCTCCTGCATCTCAGGCCGTCCCCCTCTCCAGCCTCTCATTCCCATTCCTTGCAGGCAAAGCGGCTGCAGAGGCCCGGCCGGCCGGGATGGAGACCCTGAGCTCCCCTGTCACGGGCGGGTCCCTAATTGGGTCTGAGGTGGTGCCTGGGCCTCGTCCTCATTCGCCGTCCCTGGGCTCGCAGGTGGGGACGGATTCGGGGCTGGGACCTGGTTAAGCTGACAGATTAGCCACGGAGCCTTCTAATCCCCTCACTGACCTTTATGAGTGGCCCAGGCGCTGCCCTCCCCGGTGGAAGCCCAGGCTGTGCCCGCCCCGCCCCCACTCCCCATCCTTCCAAACAGACTCCTTTTCCTGTCCTTTCACCCCCAACTTAACATCCTCCTCCACTCCTGTGGTTCCATTGCCTCTAGTCCCTACCCTAGACACCCTGAGCTGGGAGAGCGGCAGCTAATTAATCCCATCCGGTGATTACGTGGGGATTCTGAAGGATAAAGGGGGATGGGGAAGCCAGAAGGGGGGACCTAGCGTGACGCAGCACTTAGGCTGATGGGCAATGACAGTGCCTGCCCTTAGTCTTGGGACATGGGGATGGGACAATGCCCTCCTCCTGGCAGTGGCTCCTTCTGCGGCTGGCTCCCAGCCTCCTGGGCACTTAGGTAGATGGCAGCATGGCAGGGGCCAGGCCTGAGGACTGGTGCTCCAGAAACACTCACAGACACACCACCAGGGCTCCCAGTGATTTAACCCCTAAACACACTCCCCTGGCACTCAGAGCTACCGCCTCCATTCCCCTGGCCCCCAAGCTGGACCAGGGAGGCAGTGCTTCTTGCCCCCAGCCACAGCCCATACTACCCCTTGCCTGCCCTGTGATTCAGACACCCAGGTTCAGAGCTGGCCTCCAAGAGCACCTCCCATTCCAGTTGCCCATGGAAGGCTAGGGTTTCCAGCACCAGGGAGATGTAGGAAATCCCAGGACCCTCACCCCCACCTCACCCTCAGTGAAGGGCAGAATCATCCTGGTGGAAAGGCCCTTGGAGATCTTTGAGTTCCAATGTCCCATTTTTACAGATGGGGAAACTGAGGCGAGGAGAGGGGAGTGATTTGCCCAAAGTCACACAGTAAAGTTGGGGCAGAGTTGGGATTTAGAGCAAAGCTTCCTGGATCCTTGTAAAGAACCCCGTTCCAATTAGCTCAAGCTCAATTTCTAACCCCTCTGTAGGAACCACGGGAAAAAATAGATAGATATCTGTATTTATATTATATATATATATATACAATACATGTAGGTATAACACCTTTAAGAAATAAACACACATCGCTAGGTGCAGGATTCCAGAGCACTGCAGACTCACCAGCCTTGGGCCTCTCCCTTTCCTTGCCCAATAAGTAGCCCTGTTACCCACACCTTCTAGGTCAGCCCAGAAATGCTGTCTCTCAAGTCCTGAGTCTACCTCAGAACTGCCAAGTTCTAGGAGCTGATTAGAACTTCCAGGCTTTGATAATGGACAACTCTGGACCCCTGGAGCCTTGATTCTTTGGCATTACAGAACCACAAAGAAGTCATCTAGAATCATCGAGATTCTCAAGTCCTTTGGGCAAACTGGAACCAGCAAATCTCAGACATATCTAGGATCATCACACCTTTCTTGACTCTGTGATCAATCTAGAGCCACAGAATCCTGATTCCTTTGGACATTCTAGAATGGCACTTAAAAAAAACCCCTGCGGATCATTTAGAAGCATTGATTATCCCGCTGCTCCGATGTCCTACAGCCAGTGGTCCGGAGTTACCCGGCATCAAGAACTCCTCATCTCTCACTTCAGTCCTTCTAGACCCACAGACTCACCATTGTTTTGTGCATTCTAGAAACATAACTCTAGTTTCTGGAGTATGTCAACTCTCTAGATCAAAGCTGTTCTAGAATGACCAGTCCTTGCCTCTGCATTCAATCTAGATTCACAGAATCTCAACTCTTGGGCTTTCTGGAACCACAAGGTCCTTTCTTGACTTGCAGTCAACATTCCTTGACATTGGTCAATCAAGATAGTCTTGAATTCTTCAGACATTCTTAAGGAGGGCCACCCAAGCAGGGCGTAACCTTCCCTCCTTAGGTGGTGTAGAAAAAATCATTTGCTACTTGGTTGGCTGAGTCTAGAAGCAACAGTCCCTTGAATCTCTGGTCAATCCAGACCTACAGACTCTTGATCTCTATTGCTGCTCAAGAACTGTCGACCTCCCGCCCCAGAGGCCGTCTATACCACTGATTCCCGACCTGCTCAATAACCTAAGCCAGCCACATAGAGGAATCTAGAACGTCCAGTTCTTGCCTCTTGGGTGGTCCAGAATTCTGGATCCCTCAGCTCTGGTGAGACTCAGGAATCGGGCTGACAAAGGGGTCTCAGGAGGGAGCATGGAACGCAGTGGAATTAAGGTCCAGTACGTCCGTGGTGGGTCCACTAAGCATAGCAGAACTTCACCAGCTAATGATTTACCCAGCAGGCCTGTCTGGTCTTGGGAAACACCTGCCGCCATCCCAGGAGAGGGCCTGATCTCTCCATCTTGCTACCTCTGGGAAGGGGGTACAAATAGGGAGACACCAGCTGATTTCATGGGGGCAGGGTCAGTGCCAGGGTTGGTGTGAGTACTCGGGGGCTGGCAGCTTCATCTTCTGCCTCCCCCTCGTCCCCCTCCTTGGCTTCCTCTTCCTCATCTTCCTCCTGGCAGCAGCTCAGAGCAAGTTCATTCTCATAACAAAATGCAGCCAGGGAGCCAGGGAAGCTAGACTTGGGGCTGTGGGAAGCCTGCTCTGCCCGTTCGTCTAGCTCCTTGGCGCTGCAGACGGGTGTCCCTGGGACCTCATAAGTGCGATGGAAGTGGCGATAGTCGACCTCGTACTGGGAGCCACGCTGGAAGAGGACTGGCTCAAAACGATGGCCCCAGAGCAGCTCACCAGGGAGGTAGGAAGAGCGACACTGTGTGGTCATCGCCGTGGCCTCAACCATGCCCTCGAGAATGACCACCAGCTCGAAGTCGGCCCGGGCCAGCTCGGCACGTCCTAGTTCATACAGAGGACTGGCAGAGTCGATCTCGTGCACGATGGTGATGGGAGACACGAGGAAGATGCGATCGGTGCCACCATCAAAGCCCACGTCCACATCCTGATGGTCCAGCGGTATGTACTCACCCTCCGGGGTCACTCGAGGCTGCAGTGAAAAGTGAGGGGCCAAAGATAGACAGCAGGGAGCACAGAGACGAACAGAGACAGGAGAGAAAGGAGTGATGCAGAGAAAGAGGAGGGGAGAGACCAGCAGGGGTTGGGGTGGGGTGAGAACATGGACCCAAAGAGAAGGGGACAGTGACCCAGAAAGAGAGGAGGACAGAGATACGGGACAGATAGGGAATAAAAAATGGCTTTCAATATATGGCCAGAGAAAGATAAACGAGGATGACACCCTGTATTCCACCACAGCCTCAGGCTAGGCCCTGCACTATCTACCGCCCCCTGACCCCAACTACAAGCCCCTCCATCCTGTGTGTATGTGTGTTTGTATGTGTGGGTGGGTCGGGATATGCAGTCCCTAGGCCACGTGTTGGCAGTTTCACCCCACCTACCCACTGGTTCCATTTCCTCCCCCCAGACCATGTCAGTGCCCCACAGACTTCTGGGAGACACAGTATCCCTCGTGGTCATGACTCCTGGTGTCTCCAACAGTCAAGCAGGAGACAGAAGTGGGCGGTGGGGGACCCAGTCTTTTGCAACTGTCTCAGGGGCCCCCAGATGCTGCTGGGAGTTGTAGTTCCCACCACTGTCCCTCCCTCTCACCCAGGTCCAACCTCAGCCCAGGGTTCTTAAGTGTCTTTACTGGGGCAAGGGCAGCTACTGCCCCAGAATTTGTTAGGGCAGTTTGACTACAATTCTAGAAACACTAAGTCCCCTTCTTCAGGGCGCTGGAGGGAGCCACAGGCCAATGGGAGTTGTAGTTGTTTTTTGTGGGTTTTTTTGCTGAGAAGCTAAAATTTGAATTTCCCAACCCCTGCCCTGTACTCCTCCGAGCAGGAGGCTGGTGGGAGAGACTGGGCCACTGACGCGGGGAATGAAGTCTCCCATAAATGCTGCAGGACCCCATGCCCAGGGGTGTGGAAGAATTGTGCTCCACAGCTCTGCAGGTGTGAGCTGCACCCCATCCTCGGGCCTACATCTCCCACAGCCCCAAAGGGGCCTGGACTCGAGTCATAGGCCATTCTCTGTACCATAGTGTTGGCTGAGAATTGTAAAACTGAGCCGTGGTTTACAGCACCCACAAAACTACATCATCTCCTCAGACCACCCAATCTGGACACGTTCCCTGCCCTCAGAGGCTTCTGGGAATTGTAGTTCGGAGCCTTCACAGGCCAGGAGTGTCCCTCTCGGGTCTAGATTTCCCACCATCACATAGAGGGCCCATCCTCAGGCCACAGGAAGCTCTTTATGTCTCAAGATGTGTTTCAAGTCTAGGCCTCCAGGAAGAACTAGAGAGGTCACGAATCCCTCTCTTTGGTTTACACCTCCTACAACTGGTCCGGGAACCATCCTCAGTCCCCGAGCTCGGCGATAGCGTCCCTGCCTAAGAGACTGCTGGGAACTGTAGTCCACGCACCCTCCAGGCCCCACGCACACTTCGCCCTCAGGCCTACATCTCCCACAATCCCCCAGGACTCCCGCCCGCCCGCCCGCCCTCCCCGGGCCGCGGCGCCCCGCACCTGCAGCAGCTGGGCCCGCACGTGGGCCTCGACGAGGTGGCTGCGGCGCAGGTTGCCCACGCGCCACATGAGGCAGAGGCGGCGGTCGCGCAGCGCCACGACGGCGTTCTCGCTGAAGACGAGCGTCTCGTTGCGCTTCTTGGGCTTGGCCATCTTGGCCATGACGGCGCCCACGACGAAGGCGTCGAGCACGCAGCCGGCGATGCACTGCAGCACCACGGCGGCCACGGCGGCCGGGCACTCCTCGGTGACGCTGCGCACGCCGTAGCCGATGGACGTCTGCGTCTCCAGCGCGAAGAGGAAGGCGGCCAGGAAGCTGGCCACCTGCGAGAAGCAGGGCGCGGGCGGCGGCGGCGCGGCCAGGTCGCCGTGCAGCGAGGCGATGAGCCAGAAGGCCAGGCCGAAGAGCAGCCAGGAGGCGAGGAAGGAGCAGGAGAAGAGCAGGCACATCCAGCGCCAGCGCACGTCCACGCACGTGGTGAACAGGTCGCTGAGATAGCGCGCGCCCTGGCCGCCCAGGTTCACGAAGCGCACGTTGCAGTGCCCGTCCTTCTTGACGAAGCGCCCGCGCCGCCGCCGCACCGCCGACGGCGCCCACCCGTTGTGGCACAGCCCCGGCCCGGCCTCCTCCTCATCGCCCGCCCGGCTCTCTCCCGACTCCAGGGCGCCGCTAAGGCGGCGCAGGGCCCTGGCCAGGCCCATTGGGTGGGGGCACCCCCTCCACTTGGCCTAGTGGGGGGCGGGCGCCCCGAACCTGCGGGGACAAGAAACGGGCAGCAACGTCAGGGGGGCCAAGAATGGTGGGCTTCTTGGACAGGCATGCTCCCTGGGCCTTAGCGGCCTCATCTGGCAAAGGGGGGAAAGGATACTCACCTTGACAGTCAAAACAGTACCCATCAATAGCCGTGTAATAATACTATAGGAGATATTGTATAGCAATAGCCACAAAACTACAGCCATAACAACAACAACAACAACATTATAGCAAGCGCCAGAATAATTAGGGCAGACATTTATATAGTGCCAGGCACTGTTTTGAGCACATTACATGAATTTACGTGTTTTAGCCTCAGAGCAGTATAGATATTATCACGCCCAGTGTACAAATGAGGAACCTGAGGCACGGAACGTTTGACTTGGCCAAGGTCACAGCTGAGTAAACTGGGATTTGAGTCCCAGCAAATGCAGTGTCTACTATGTGGTAACTGCTTCCCAGCATGGAGTCAGCATGGAGAGATGAGCCAGGCTCTGAGGTCACCTGTGGTTCAAAAACAGGCTCAGAAAGCACAAGCAACAAAAGGGAAAGAAGTGGGTAAATTGAACTTCATCAAAATTAAAAACGTTTGTGCTTCAAAGGACACCATCAAGAAAGTGAAAAGACAATCCACCGGCGGATGAAAATAGTTGTAAATCATATATCTGATGAAGAGTTTGTTTTTAAAAGCTATAAAGAGCCCTTACAACTCAATAATAAAAAGACAATCCAGGGGCTGGCCTGGTGGCATAGTGGTTAAGTTTACACGTTATGCTTCGGCCACCCAGGGTTGACAGGTTCAGATCCTGGGCATGGACCTACCCACTGCTCATCAAGCCATGCTGTGGCAGCATCCCACATACAAAACAGAGGAAGATTGGCACAGATGTTAGCTCAGGGCCAATCTCCCTCGCCAAAAATAAAAACAATAAAATAAAAAGACAACCCAATTCAAAAATGGGCAAAGGATCTGAATAGACATTTCTCCAAGAAAGATAGACCAATGGCCAATAAGCACATGAAAAGATGCCTGACATCATTAGCCATCAGGGAAACGCAAATCAAAACCATAAAGAGATACCAACTCATACCCACTAGGATGGCAATAACAAAAGGAAAAAAACCCCGAAAATAACAAGTGTTGACAAGGATATGGAGAAACTGGCACCCTCAAACACTACTGGCAGAATGTAAAGTTGTGCAGCTGGTGAGGAAAACAGTCCGGCAGTTCCTTAAATGGTTAAACGTAGGGTTACCATATGACCCAGCAATTCTACTCCTACCCAAGATAAATTAAAACAAGTGTCCACACAAACACTTGTACACAAATGTTTATAGCAGTGTCATTCACAACAGCCAAAAGATGGAAACAACCAAATATCCATCAACTGATGAAGGGATAAATAAAAGGTGGTGTATCCACACAAGAGAGTACTGCTAGCAACAAAAAGAAATTAAGCATGGATAGATGCTACAACATGGATGAACCTTAGAAACCTCATTCTAAGTGTGAGAAGCTGATCACAGAAGATCACATATTGAGTACTTTCATTTATAGGAAACGTCCAGAATGGGCAAATCTATAAATTGAGAAGGTAGACTAGTGGTGCTAGGACTGGGGAAATGGGGGGATTGGGGAGTGACAGCCAGAGAACATGGGACTTCTTTTTGGGGTGATGAAAATGTTCTAAAATTGATTGTAGTTGCACAACTCTGTGGATATGCTAAATAACGTGCAATCGTACACTTTAATATGTGAATTGTATGGTATGTGAATTGTATTTCAATGAAACCATTACAAAAAACAAAAACCAACCCAGGCTCAGCCCTGCCCCTCCGATCTCGGGCAAGTCTTTCTGAGCCATGGTTTCCTCGACTGTACAATGGGGAAATGGGACTCCTTCGAGGGCAGGAAGTGCTTTCTAGTCATATAGACCCACAACCCAGTCCTGGCTCAGCTGTTGACCCACTACGTGCCCTGAGACCACTGGCTTCCTTTTCTGGAGCCTCAGTTTGCTCATCTGTGGAATGAGGATAGAAAACCCCACCTTGAAAGGAAGAGGGATCCAGAAGAAAGACGTTGGGTTTTTGAATCAGGCAGCTCTAGGGCGAATCGTGGCCTGGCCACTGACTAGCTCTATGACTGGTGGGAAGTCTCAGCCGTTCCTGAGCCTCAGTTCCCTCATCTGTGGAATGGAGGGAACCTCGACAGGGTGGAGGAAAGATGGAGGGAAAAGCTGGGCATGGACCTACAGGCTTCATCGTGTGCCAGCAGCTGCAGGGTTACCATCTAGCGTGGTGGTGGAGGGACTTCCAGGACCTGTCCGGGCTAGGGGTGAAGTGTTTTGCCTATCACTTCCATCAGTGTTTACCAAGTACCTATGTACTCGGTGCCCCCTGTGCCAGGCCCTGGGGATCCTCATGGGATTCTTGGTAGGGCTGGGGGCACTCAATCTGAGGAGAGGGTGTTCAGTCAACGTGAAGTTCAACACCAGTGGGCGCCCTCCCCTGCCCCCAGCTCTGCACCTGCTGTCTCTGACCACCCGGACAGGTCTGCCACGTGGGGGGCTATTACACCCCTCTGCAGAGGCAAAGCTGTGGCTCAGGTCAGAGTGGCCTGGGCCTGGCTGTGTCCAGCGCCCATGATGTGCCCCAACCTTGACTCTTTTCTCACCCTCACAACCCTGGGCGTTAGAGATCGTTTTTCTGCAAAGGGGAAACTGAGGCTCATCGCTGAAGGGGGCAGGTTTGAGGTCAGAATCCAGGCTCCAACTTCTACCTTTGTAGGCCTCACACAGACCCCTCCCCTCGCCGCACCAGGCTGGGCCTCCTCACACCCACTCACCAGTCTGTAATCACAGCTCTGGGAGGTGGGACTTTGCTTTTTTAAAAAGCAAACTGAGGCACGGGGCCCATCCCTTGTCTCAAGTCCCTCAGCCGGACGTGGCAGACCCTGGGCCCCACTCCGGGCTTCTCGGTGCCCGAGCCTGAGCGACGAACCACGGACGACCTTATCAAGTGCCCTCCTCCTGCCTCCTGAGCACCTCCGAGCTCCAGAGCCTCCTAACGAGCTCACCAGATGCCCATGGCCACCCCCGGACTCCACCAGACCCCACCACTCACCTCGCCTGTTCAGGATGCTGGGAGGTCAAGATCATCGTCCCGTTTCACAGGTTGGGGAACAGGCTCAGAGACCTGGCCAGACCCACGCGGTGCCGGGGGTGGGGTGCCGGTCTGGTCCTGAGCCTTCCCAAACCAGGACTCTCCTCCTAAATCCTTGAGTCCCACCCTCAGCCCTGTGAGGCGGATGAGACCGTGTCCATTTCACAAGGCCGACTGGGGTCTTCACCTCCAGGGGGCCCTGTCTTGTGTCCAAGTGGCCCAGCTCACAGGGGTGGACGCACTGGGCTCAGGGCACCCCCTCCCCCGCAAAGGCAGGACAGGAGGGAAAAGTATCCGGAGCCTGAAGTCCTCCCCCTTCCTCCCCCTGACCTGCGAGAGCAGCTTAATGTTTCCATATAAAGGAGACCCGTGGCTTAAGGTGCATCGACTTCATGTCAAAGTCACTGTCTAATCTGGGCCAAGAAGCCCCGCCCCTGGGCACCAACCTCCCTCCCCGCCCCCCTCACCGAAGAAGCACTTTCACTTCCCCACACCCTGGGTGTCCCCCTCCCCCAACTACTGATGGGGTCTGGGCAGCAGGGTGGAGGGCAGGGACTGAGGGGAGGGGGCGTGGGGCAGAGACTGGAGACAGACAAGGGTGCAGAGGCTCTGAGTGGGAAGGAAGAGAAGGGTGCTGAGAGAGAGGGCCCAGGAAAGAGGGAAGGACAGAGATGGGGGTGGAGATCCCGAGAGAGACGGACAGGGGCCCAGAGGGGGATGAAGACCCAGGGAGAGGGGTACAGAGACCCAGAGAGAGGGGGACAGGGACGCAGAGGGGGACAAAGACGCAGAGACCCAGGGAGAGGGGGACAGAGACCCAGAGAGAGGGGGACAGGGACCCAGAGAGAGGGGGGCAGAGACCCAGAGAGAGGGGGACAGGGACCCAGGGAGAGGGGACAGGGACCCAGAGAGAAGGGGACAGAGACCCAGAGAGAAGGGGACAGGGACCCAGGGAGAGGGGGGGACAGGGACCCAGAGAGAGAGGGGACAGGGACCCAGAGAGAGGGGCACAGGGACCCAGAGAGAGGGGGACAGAGACCCAGAGAGAGGGGGACAGGGACCCAGAGAGAGGGGACAGAGACCTGGAGGGGGGGACAGGGACCCAGAGAGAGGGGGACAGAGACCCAGAGAGAGGGGGGACAGGGACCCAGAGAGGGGGACAGAGACCCAGAGAGAGGGGGGACAGGGACCCAGAGAGAGGGGGACAGGGACCCAGAGAGAGAGGGGCACAGGGACCCAGAGAGAGAGGGGTACAGGGACCCAGAGAGGGGGACAGAGACCCAGAGAGAGAGGGGGACAGGGACCCAGAGAGGGGGACAGAGACCCAGAGAGAGGGGGACAGAGACCCAGAGAGAGGGGGACAGAAAAGAGACAGGCCGACTACAATCAATCGGGAAAGAAGTGGAGATCCTGTCTTAGGAAATGGAACGATGGGGAGACGGAGTTGGGAAGACAGAGATGGGGCAAGAAAGAGAGGCTCGGATGAGAGGGAGGATGAGGGGGACAGAAAATGGAGAGGATTCAGAGACAGAGGCACTGGGCTGGAATCTGTCTCTGAGGACGGGGGACCTTGGGGCAGAGACAGCGGGACAGAGACAGCGGAGCAGAGAGGATGGGGAGGCAGGCTGGCTCCCAGGCCCAGGAGCGCTGCCCGGGCCCTCCATGGAGGCGCGTACCTGGTGGGGCGGCCCACCCCCATGTCCTCCACCGGGGGCTCCTCTGCTTGGCCGAGGGGAGGCCTCTGTGAGTACTGAGGGGCTGCGGTCGGTCCTCGGCCCCAGGGGCCCTGTGCCGGGCGTCCGACCTCTGTGTCCACAGGAGGATCAGAGGCCTGGCCTGAGGGGGGGCAGGGGGTGGGGCCAGCTCAGAGCCGCAGAGGGGGAGCCAGGGAGGACGGCCAGGCAGGGCGGCTGGGCCACAGCCCAAGCAGGCTGGAGAGGAGCCGGTGGCAGAGAGACACAGAAGGGGGAGGGGGCCAGGACACACGGGAAGATGGGGGGACAGATGAGGGAACAAAGAAATGGTCAGGATGAAGCGGGCAGCGAGGGGAGGACAGAGACATGGGGGGCTCCCTGGTTCCCCGGGAGACGAAGCCTTAAAAAAGTTGGGGGACACAGGGGAGATGCCCCTGAGACCCGCAGTGAGTTCCAGATGGAAGAGAATTTGGGGAAGGCAGAGCGGCTAGTGGACTGAGGGCTGGAATGCCTGCGGCAAGGACTCCCAGGGGCCTCTCCCGGCCCAGAGGCCTGGGCGCAGATTCCCGCCTCCTCGCCCGTTCCTTTACAGGGAAGTGGCCAGGACGAGTCGCACACACAGCAGGCCTCATTCTGGTCCTTTATTGCCTCTCAGGAGCCCGACTTTCCTCCCCACACAGCGCCTGCTTTGCTGCAGAGAGAAGGCCCCGTGCAGCCCCTCACTGGCAAGTCCTGGCCAGCCCGGTTGGCAGGAAGACAAAGGGCAAAACCAAATTCACCTGGGGGAACCTGCCACTCACATTTAGCCCAGCCACTGTAAAGTACTTGAGTTCCCTGGGGAAGACCAGCGTCCAAAACTGGGTCCTGGGGCAGAGAGGTCAAAGGGTCAAGGCAGGTGGCACAGCTGACAGAATGACCACAGCAACACGGGCCAACCAGGCCCAGCTGGGAAACAGGCCAGCGGAGTCCTGTGACAGGTGGGGGCGTCACTGGGCTAAACCAAGTCCTTGGGTGGGAGGGGTCCCTGGAGTCAAGGCAGTGGTTTTACAGGGCCCTGGGTCAAAGCAAGTCACTGGACCAAACCAAGCAGTTTGAGAGTCACGGGTCAAGCTATGTCCTTTGGTAACAGGGGTCAGTGGACCAAATCAAGTCCTTTCAAAGAATAGGAAGTCCAACAGAATCCATCACAGCGGCCAATGGGCCGAACTAAGCCCTTCTTCTGGAGTGGGGCTGGTCAACAGATCTGAATGATTCCCCTGCGGGGGAACCAACCTCATCCTCAGTTCCCAAGCGCAAGGCCAGCCCAGACGCCGCGGGGCACCTCAGACGCTGATGGTGCGGAAGACGGTGAAGCCCGACAGGGCGGTGCTGACCAGGACCCCGGGGCACTGCGGGTGCCAGTGCAGCTCCTTCAGGTCTGTCTCGCCCTGGTGCACGAACAGCAGCTGCTGGGGGAGGTCCACCAGCGCGGGGTCGGTCTCCGCGTCGCCCGCCTCAGGGTCCCGCTCCACCGCCAGGTCCCACTGTGTGATCTGGTTGTCTGCCCCTGAGGCTGCGAAGACCCCACTGTCCTGAGGGTGCCACTCGACGGAGGTCACGGGGGCCACGTGCTGCTTGAAGGTGGCCACAGGGGAGCCAGACTACGGGAAGATGGGAGTCAGGGATCTGAGCACCTCAGCTTGACTCCTGGGGCGACCCAGGAAGAGCCCCGCACTCCTCTCCAGCCTTAGGGTAAAGGTGTACCATCCCAGGGGCTCCTGGGAATTGTGGTTTCACTAGCAAAGAACTGCCCCCCCCCCCCCAGCTCCAGGTCACAAAATCTCCACCCCTACTCCTCCCTGGGTGTGCCTCAGTTTCCCTTCCTATAAAAGGGAGGGGGTGGTTCCTACGTGTTCTCCCCTTTGATTCTCTGAAGGCCTTGGACGGGGCGGAAGCACAGCCCACAGGCTCCAGAGTCAGCCACGTAAAGAACAAAAAGACTCTGACTACAGCCAAGCAGCCGCTGGGGGCTGGAGTCTCTCTAATTTGGAGAAGTGGCTCCAGGGTTCCAATGGTCAGTCGGCTTGGCCATGTGACCTGGCCATCCACCTGCCTTGGGGGCTGGAATCCATTTCTAGAAGTCTCCCCAGGGCTGATTCTATAGAACCCAGTACTTTGGAGGGAAAAAAGAGATGACAACACCATGGTGCTAGGATGCCGTGGAGCTACAGGAAATGATGGCTTTGTCCAGAGGGATGCCAGAAGCTGCAAGTTCTCCCCAGAGCCCCTCTCAGCTCTACAAAGTTAACTCTTCGCTGGTCGGTAATGTCATATCTGCTTCTGTCCTTTCTGTGCCTCAGTTTCCTCTCCTGCAACGAGTGAACTGGGCTCTGATTCTCAGGTGATTCTATAAAACCCACCAGAAGAAAAACTACAACTCCCTGAAGCCCTTGAGCCCCTGGGCAGCACAGCCAGCTGCACGGCTCCGCCAGGGGCAGATGGGAGTTGTAGTCTCTGCTGCCACCCAGCCTCTTCTGTCTCTCGTCAACGCTCCAGCTGGTAGAGTGAGCGACCCTCGACCAGCCACAAGCCTCCCTCTTGCTGAGGCTGTTTCCTCACCTGCACCCCGAGGGGGCTGGACCCCAATTTGAAGGGCCTTCCTGGCTCTGGTGTATAAAACCATTTCTAAGGAGGGAAACCCCCCAATCCTAGAGGCTGGGAGAGTACCTTGAACTGCCGCAGGTCCCAGACTTTGAGGGCCCCGTCATCCCCGCCACTGAGCAGGAAGGGCTCCCGGCGGCTCCAGCTGATGACGTTGACATCCCCATCGTGGGCGGTGGCGGTGGTGAGCATGCAGGCCTTGCTGGGGGCTGCCCGGATGTCCCAGATGCGAATGGAGGCGTCAGCTGAGCAGGAGGCGAAGACCTGGACAAGGAGGATTCTGAGTGACACCCCAGACCCCAGCGTCCCAGAGATCGGGGACTAGTGGTGGGCGACCCTCTCTTTTAGTGTCCCCCTCACCAGGACCTGCTCCCAGCCCCCTCCTACCCCAAGACCCAGGAATCCAGGCCCCCAGCCCTCCCTCACCGTGTCCTCAGTCGGGGACCATTGCAGGTCTTCCACGGAGCGTGTGTGGCCCACAAATGGCCGCTGGTCCACGTGCCAGGAGCCACAGTCCGTAGGCGTCCAGAGATGGATGTTCTTTTGACAGTCACCAGTCAGCAGGCGCCCTGGGGAAGGGAGTCAGGAAACTACCTGGTCCCAGCTGGCCACGGCTCACTCCCCTCCCTGGAGTCTTAACACCCAGCCCTGCTGGGGACCCTGTTCCCTCCCACCCCTCAGGACCAATCCCACCTCAGGCACTTACCGGGCACACGAGAGGACCAGTCGAGTGCAAAGCCCTCGCCCATGTGGCCAGCAAAGGCGAAGATGGGCTTCACTCGGGCCTGCTCGTCCCGGAGGAAGGTCGCCATGGCCTGGGGGTCATCCACCACCTGCAGAAGCCGCCGCAGCGCAAACACCTCCACCTGGCCCTTCTCTGACCACACCCCAGCCACCGGCTCCTCGCCCAGCCATGATACCTGCAGCGGGGACGGGGCAGAGGGGTAAGGGGGGAGGGACAGGAGGCTCAGGGTGGTGACCACAGCTCCTAGCATCCGAGAACCAGAACCGCAGTTCTCCAGATCCCCCCGGCTGGGACTACAACTCCCAGAAACCTTTGTGGGAAAGGAATCCCAGCCTATGAGACCACCTTGGGACCTGTGACAGCTCCCCACGCTGCGGGAGATGTAGTGTTGGGGGGAGGTCAAAACTGCTTCCAGACTCCTGGGAATCATGGCTATAATTCCCACCAGCCCTCAGGAGTGTGTCCAAACCCTCGGTCTCTAACCCTCCAAATGGTGGAGGGTCACAGGCCTCAGTCCTCAGATCTCTTTGCCTCTGCGTGGACCCCGTTCAGCCTCAGGGCTTCCAGGAGCCTCTAGCCCTGGCCTCTCTCCTGAACCCCAGACTTATATGGCACCGACCACACAAACTTCAGGAGACCAAAGGCAGGCTCCTGATCGCTGACTGCAACCTCCTCCTCCCAGGTGTTCCCCACCCCAGCCCCAAAATGCAGGACTCATTCTCAATTCGTCTCTTCTTCCTCGCCCCCACCGCCTACGCTGGCTGCACTGAAAACACGCCACTTCCAACCCTTCTCATTCCCTCTGTGGTCGTCACTCATGCTACTGCTGATGTCATCCTTCCCCTGAATTACCATATCCCCCTCCTCCCAGGACTCTGTCCTTCTGCCCTTGCCTCCTTGCAGACTATTCTCAATACAGCAGCCACCGGGATCCCTCAAAAACACACGGCAGCTCCCATCCAACTTCGGCTCTGAGGCCTCCCATGGCTCCCAATTTCTCCAAGTAAAAGCCAAGTCATTCCAGTGGCCCTAAACAATCTGTCTTCTCTGTGCCCACTCGCCAAATCTCATCATTTTTTCCCTCTTCCATTCTGCTCCAGATGCACTGGTCTCCCCAGTTTCCCTCAAAACTCCTCAAACATGCAAAATGCACCCCAGGGCATTTGCACTTGTGTTTCCCTTGCCATCCTGTCCCACAGATATCCTTAGCTCGCTCCCTGACTTGCCGTGGGCCTCTGTTCAAATGGCACCTTACCAGTGAACACTTCCCTGACCACATATTTAAAATAGCAACCCCACCTAGGAACTCCCTAACTCCTTTACTTTGCTTTATTTTCCTCCGCAACATTTAGCACCTTTGAACTTACTACACATTAACTTAGTTTCTTCTTGTTCCTTTCCCCACCAGCATGTAAGTTTCATGAAGCCACAGACCCTTTGCTCACTGTTAAATCCCCGGGGTCTAGAACAGTACCTGAAACATGGCAATACTTTAATGGAAACACACAACAAGAACTTTGGGCCAAGCGCTGCTCTAAATTCATATATCATCTCATTTAAACCGCACATCAACCTGATCAGAAGGCGCTATGACCCTGAAGCATGTAAGAAACCCCTCAGCCCAGAACCGTTTCTAAGCAGTAACAGAAAACAGACATCTCACCCTACAAACAGGTGCTGTTTCTAGGCATCTCAAATAACTCCATTTCACTTACTGAAATAACTATGCTATTTCATTTTATCCTTCTATCAGCCCCATCAGTAAGTTCTATGACCCTCACTCTATTATAGAAGAGGAAAGTACATAAACGTACTCCATAGCACCTAGTACATAGTAACCGTTATTATAATTGCTAAGATGCTTATAAACTAATATACGAAACTACGTGCCAACTGCTTTTCTAAAACCTGAAGGGCATGGTCATGAAGCAGGCTCTTGGACTGTTATTTACCCTAACTCGGTTGATGCCACCATAGTGGGGCACCATAGCCAACTCGAGCTGAGGCTTCCGGTCTTCTTCATCCTCTTCATCTTCCTCGTCCTCCTCTTCGTCACTGCCCTCTGATGGCGGGGGCTTCGTCCCATGCAGATTGTGCATTCGGAGCATCATCAGCCTGGGGGGAGGCGTGGTGTGAGTGAGGCACTGCATGCCAGGATCCTTGGGGAGGAGGGAGGCTGGGAACCCCAACTTCTGGGCCTGAGGGGGGCAAAACCTGGAAGCCCCACCTCCTGGATCCTGGGGAAGGGGGAGCTGGAGGCTCAGACTCCTGGGTCTTGACGCAGGAAGAGGCTGGGAACTTGGGGTCCCGGTCCTGGGAAAGCCTCTGGTCTCACTAACCTGTTGCTCTGGGCGCTCTCCGCCTGGGTCCCAGCACACAGGTAAAGGCTGAGAGGAAGCTCCGTCCGATTGTCTCCCAGATGATCCCGGACTATGTCGAAGCTGAGACAGGGGGCGCCTGGGGATGAAAGGAGGGGTGGGAAAGTTAGGACGGGACGGAGGACTCTCAGCCCCTTTGAGTGTGATGTCACCCCTCTTAGACCCCAGTCTTCCCTTTCAGAGCGTCTCAAAATCAAAAGCTCAGGACCAGAGCCCCACAGGACGCAAGATTCTAGTCCCCTCCTTCCTCCGGACCCAGAGGTCCGGCTGCCCAGCCCTACCAGTCTGCGCTCGGTGGTACAGCACGTAGGCCTCCTCGTCCATGACCAGCTCCTCTCCTTCGCGTAGCGGCGGTCCCCTGCCGGGCAGGTAGACTTGGGCCCCGCCCTGGGACCCTGAGTCGCCGGACTCGGCTTCCATGGGCTCCCCGGTTTCACACGTGCGCCGCCGACCCCTGCGCGCGGCCATCTTCGAACTCTCTCACCGCCGGCGCGCGGTAATAGCGTCACTTCCGGTTTGCGCTTTCCGCCTTCTGAGAGCCGCCCTGCAGGGCAGTTACCTTGGAAACCTCCTTGTTCACCAATTAGAGTGGGCGATGGGGACACGGTGAAGGAGAACTAAGGTAACGGCATGCTGGCTTAGTCGCCGAGGCTGTAGATACCGAGTCGCTCCACCCGCTGCCTGACTTTGGGGCGCTCTTCCGCAGAGCAGTGGCAAGGCCTCCTGGGAGTTGTAGTTCTGCAGGAGGCCTGTATTCCCATCCACTAGAGGAGTTCGGAACCCTGACTCCATCTTCCACCTTTGACTCCCAGTGCTTTCTTTCCACTTAATTAACTATTCATATATGCAAATAAGAGCTCTTACTGGCAAAGAAACTGGGCTTCTGCTCCCTGGGGACCCATAAGGTCGGTTTCTTCTCCTCTCCTTGTTATGATGGCTTTAATTTACTTCAAAGTGCTTTAGTGTAGACAGGATGATATTACAAGTAAGTTAGACGGTTGAATCTACTCTCTAGGGGCCGTCAATTGCCTAACCAGGCGTTCACATTGCAGCTATGGTCAGCGAACGCTTAATCAGAAAGTCCACCCTCTGGAGGCAGCTATTACAAGTGCTGCGGCTCTCTTTATCGCCCATCAGCACCAGAGGTTTGTCTAATTGGTGTAATGAAATATTAGAAATAGATTCTCCTTGGTGAGATAAATGGCACTCAAGATATGTGGATTGGCTGGGATATATTAGACACTCTCCTCGCTTGCACGAACAGGATATTAAGCATCTAGCAAGCCACGGGAATGGGACCCTACACTTGATCCTAAAATGTTTTGATCCCAGATCTCTCTTGAGTTCTCTGTCCCCTCTTCTCTCTAGGTCTCTGTCCGCCCCCTCCCTTTCTCAACCCTTCCCTTCCCAGGGCGGTTTCTCACCGCCTCCTTCTGGGTCTTTGCCTCTCACCTCCCTCCAGGGTCTCTGTTCTTGCTCTAATTCCCTTTCTGCCCCCATTTTCTCTGTGGGACTTTTCGCAGCCAGAGAAATTTGAGGGGATCCAAGAGACACGGAGCTCACACTTGGACTGAGGAGGCATAAAAACATGGTTTATTCCAAACACTGCAATGTGGAACAGGAGAGCGGGAAGGGAGGTCGGTGGTGAGTGTGGACTCCCAAACCCTCTGCTCCACAACCCAGCTCCAGACCCGGCTGGAGATCTGGGAAGAGGAGCCTTTTGGGGGGGTCTGCTGGGTCATCACTGAAGGATCACAAGTAAGGGGTAGATTTGGAGAGGATGTGGTTGGTGGCACCTGGGGCTGGTAGTGAGGTGCGACAGGTCGGGAAGTTTTGGCCGGATGGAGGTTGGGATCAACGCTGGGGCCGGGGGAGGCGGGGCTTCCGTTGGGGGCGTGTCCTAGGTCAAAACAGGGAAAAGCAACCGAGGGTGGAAAAGAAGGAAGGGTGTCACGGTTTGACGTCAAGGGTCACAGTCTGGTCAGGGCACAGTCGGGGGTTCGGGTCACAGTTTGGGGTCAGGGGTCACAGTCTGGGGTCGGATGCCCATTTTTAGGGGTCGGAAGTCACAGTCTGGGGTCAGGGATTTCTGTGTGGCGGGGCCAAGGTCTGGGGTCACAGTTTGGCGAACGCGTCTCACAGTTGAGTCCCGATGGATGAAAGGTTAAAAACGGGCTTCCCCGGAGGCGTGGCTGGGGCCGGGGAGCTGCACAGTGATGTGGGGGCCACGGCCCCGGGCGTGGGGGTGGGGCGCTGGCGCGGCGTGCCCCCCCCCAACTCCCGCCCCATCTGGTGACGTTAAAAAGCCCTTGTCGGGTTTAAAAAAAGGTCCAGTGGGCTCCGAGACCCCCGCCCCCTCGCTCTCAGACTGGGTGAGATTTGCGGAGACCAGATCCCCTCCGGCTCCCGGTGCCCCCAAAGCTGGGGGCGCAGGACGCTGCTCCAGGCGGGGTCCGGCCAGTTCCATTGTTTTCCTTCCCAACCCACGCGGGTCCTGTCCCCTGCGCCTGCCCCCTCGGGCCGTGGCCTGCGCTGACCGAGGGGGCGGCGGGGCCCCCCGGGCCGCGTCATACCTCGGACTCGAGGCTGGAGAAGTGCGCCGAGCCCCTGCGGGTACCCAGGTCCCCGCCCCGGTGTCTCCGGTGGGACGCGGCGGGCAGCGGCGGCCCCCAGTGCGCCGCGTGCGGGCAGCGGCGCGCGTGGCGGGAGGGCCCGGTGAGCCTGCGCGCGGGGGCGGCGCGGGGGCACGAGCTGAGGTCCTCGAGCGAGCGCGAGGTGGGCGCGGGCGGCGGGAGGTCCCAGCCCCCCGCGGCGCGCCGGTGCCGGTGGTGGTGCGGCGCGGCGGCGGCGGGCGCGCGGTGCGAGGCCCGCGGGCGGTGCGGGTGCGGCCGCGGGCACCCGCAGCGGGCCCGGCGCCGGGGCGGGGGCCCCGCGGCCCAGGGCGGGGGCGGCGGCGCCCACCAGCCGCCGTCCAGGCCGTCGTGCGAGCAGCTGAGATGGCGCGGTGGTGGCAGCAGCTCCAGGCTGGCGCAGTGGCGGCAGTGCCAGGCGGCTGGGCCGCTGCGCGGGGGCAGGTAGTCCCAGCTGCCGGCGCGCCAGCCCCCGAGCTTGTCGACCGACCAGTAGCGGCCGGGCGGCGGCCCGAGGCGCTCGGCGTACGGGTAGGGGAAGTCGGCGAACCACCAGGGCTCCAGGCCGCCCAGCGACGCGCCGCCCAGGCTCTCCGAGTCCTCCGAGTCCGACGGCGACGGCTCGAGGTCGAGGTAAGGGCAGGGGGGCGGTGCGGCGCGGCACGGCGGGGGTGCGCCCTGGGCCCCGCCGCCCGCGCCCCCCGCCGCCGCGCCCCCCGCGCCGGGCCCCAGCAGCGGCTGGCTCTCGGGATCGGAGCGCGGCCAGCGCGCGGGCGCCGGCGGGCTCTCGTCCTCGAAGGCCAGGCGGCACAGCGGCGGCCCGACGGCGGGGGCCGCGGCGGCGGGGGGCGCGGGCGGCGACGGGAAGCCCGGAAAGGCGCCGGCGGGGGGCTCGGTCGGCTCCTTGTCGCGCACGATGGCGAAGTAGGAGGGCGGCGGCTTCTGCGGGGGCTGCGCGGCCGGCGGGGACAGGGGGCGCCCGGCCACGCCCCGGGGCGCCGTGCGCGCGTCGCCCACGCCCAGGCCCTGCGGCTCGATGGGGCCGTAGTAGCGGTGGAAGCCGTCGGCCAGGCCCGCGCCCCCCGGCGGCCCCCCGGCTTTGGAGCGGCGCCAGCGGTCCACGGCCGCGCGCTCGCGGGGCACGAAGGGCGCGGGGCCCGGCGCGGGCCGCACCGTCGGGTACGCCGGGCTGGGCAGCGGCTGCGGCGGCGGCGGGGGCTTGGCGGGCGGCGGGGCGGCCTCGGCGCTGCAGCAGCTGTACATGCCCTGCGGGGGCCGGCGGGAGAGCAGAGGGTCAGCGCGCGATGCCCGGGACCGCCCGCCTTCCCTCCGGTCCTCCCTCCTCTCCCGCATCCCGGCCCAGGTCTCCTCCATTTCTAGGCGCCCCTGCCTGTTTCCCCCCATCTCGCCCCCACTGCCTCCCTCCCTCCCCCGTACCCTGGAGAAGGCCAGCAGGAAGTCCATGCGGTGGGTGGGCCCCAGGCAGTGGCGCAGGCGCCAGTACACCAGGTGCTCCCAGGCGAAGACCAGCAGGGAGAGCCCCATGGCCACCAGGAGCATGTAGAAGACCCCCGCCATGTTGTCGATGTCCAACTTGCTGCTCATCACCTCGATTTTGTCATTGTGGCAGATCCCAGACAGCCACAGCCGCTCCAGCATCTCGATCTCATCTGGGGAAAGGGGGCGGGAGGTCACCTTCCACGGGCACCCTCTGAGGACTCTCCTCTTTGATACGGCAGTCTAGTCCACAGCCCCCTCCTCCCTCAGACCCTGCTGTCCCCAGCCTCCTCCCCTCCTCCCCCAGGACCCGGGGGTCTCCCCGACCCCTCCCCGCCCCAGGCCGCCCGCCCGCAGCCCCCGCACCATCCCCCAGGAACTGCAACAGCGCCAGGTCGATGGGGCGCTTCCAACGGGAGCCCTTGTGCAGAGCGATGCCATAGCCTGTGGTGGCGAAGACCTTGCCGGAGCCGATGGTGACGAGCTTGCAGCCCTCGTCCTTGCGGGCCATGTAGTTGAGCACAGCTGCGTCATAGATGAAGGCGTCCAGCTTCCTGGGGGGCAGGGGGCGCGAAAGGGCAGGGTCAGTCCCATTCCGACGCCCTCAGGGCCCAGCCCACTCCTCTCGCCCCTAACTTCCAGCTGCTCCCAACCCGAGCGAGTGGGGGACTCTTGAGGAAGTCACTGCGCCTCTCTGTGCCTCAGTTTCAACATCTGTAAAATGGGGATGACAGCAATACTGCCCTTGTAGCGTTGTTGCAAAGGTCAGGTAGCACTTGGTGTAAAGAAAGTTCTGGAGGAATGTTAGCTGTGCCTGTTAATGAAATAATTCCGCGTCTAATCCTCACCAGAGCCCCCAAGGAAGGCCCTATGTGCTCCTCCTTTTTAAAGAGGAAGACTGAGACTCAGGGGAATCCTACAAACAATAGTTTTGCAGAATAAATGAATGAGTGAATGAATGAATCTAAACCATGGAACACCGGGTAACTATTCTATGAAGTAACAGAAATGCTTATGATCTGACACGTGAGGATGTCCAGCATGTATTAATGAGAAAATAAACTCGTTCTGGAATCCCATATAGCATATAGTTCCAAATTTAGTCTTTTATTTTTATTACTTTTTAAATTTATTTTTTGGTGAGGAAGATTGGCCCTGAGCTAGCATCCATTGCCAGTCTTCCTCTATTTTGTATGTGGGACGCCGCCACAGCATGGCTTGATGAGCAGTGTGTAGATCCGTGCCCAGGATCTGAACCCATGATCCCCTGGCCACCAAAGCAGAGCGTGAATTTAAGCACTACGCTACCTCACTAGCCCCCATATTTGTTTTTAAAATGACATATGTCTGGTGGCGTAGTGGTTAAGTTTGCAAGCTTCGCTTCTGCGGCCCAGGGTTTGCTGGTTTGGATCCTGGGCGCAGACCTACACACCACTCATCAAGCCGTGCTGTGGCAGGTGTCCCACATACAAAAAAAACCCTCCCTGTTAGCTTAGGGCCAATCTTGTTCACCAAAAAAAGAGGAGGATTGGTGGCAGATGTTAGCTCAGGGCTAATCTTCCTCAAAATCAAAACAAAACAAAACAAAATAAAAATAAAATAAAATGACATATGTGTTGGGGGGAATTGGGGTCATCTTAACTGCAGACACCAGACCAGCTCTTAGAGGAAGGTGCCTGTCTTGTTCGAGTCCAGCATCGTCCAAGAGAACACCACGACGATGGAGGTGTCCTGTCTGCGCTGTCCAGTGTGGCAGCCACCAGTCACACGTGGCCCTTGGCCACTTGAAATGTGACCCGTGTGATAAAGGGACGGAACTTTAAATTTTATTTCATTTTAATTTAAATTTAAGTCATATTGGACAGGACAGGTCTGGGGAAAACAAGAGAGATGGAGGCGGGTGGGTGGACCCTGGGTTGCGGGGAAGGCAAAGGGTTTTCCAGGAGAATATAACCCCCTGGCTTTTGAGTCGTTTGCCTATCTGTTAATGTCACAACCTCCATGTCCCCAAGCTTTCCATAAAGCCATCCCCACACTCACACACATGCACATAAATGCCTTGTGTATAGAGATGGTTGCAGAGAAATTAAGGAAAAGGACAGAATTAGTCTGTGCGTCTCAAATGGGGAGACAGACAGAAGGTTCCCCAAACTGAATGGATCCAGCAGAAGCAAAAAAGGCGGGGTGGGGGCAAAGAATGAGCAGACCCTTGGGGAGGCCAGTTACCACCCCACGGGTTGGGGGGAATGGGGTTTGAATTCATTTTCTATCTGTCCTAACAGGCAGGGAGCTGGCAGCCGATGTCTGGAAACATGTATATGTATAGAGGCAAGAATAATATCTCAATGGCCTGCGGGCACCGCCGCCTTGAAACAAATGTTTAGGAAAATGCCCTTAGGGGTGAAGGGTGAATTGTTTCCTGGGTTTAAGTGGGAAGAACTTGGAGTTTCCAGGGTCTCGCTGACGAAGAGGGATGGAGGCGCTGGGGACTAGGATGCAGATGGAAAGAGGGTCTTCAGGGGTCCTTGGGGCACACAGGGGACCGGTGTTTGTGGGGGGCATTTTAGAGCTCAAGATGAAGGCTTCCGGTGGTGGGAAGGTTGGAGGAGCTTCCAGGAAAGGGGATCTAAGAGCCTTCCCCTTTAACCCTTTGCTCCGTTGTTCTGGGACATAATGTCTGCCTCCCTTCCCCCAGCCCCGACTCCCTAGGCCCCCATTGTCCCTAAACCTCTAGCAAAGCAGCCATGTCCTACAGCCTTGGTTTAAGCGTATGTTTGGAAAATTAAAATTCCCTGCGTCTGTCCTTACTGTCCTGTTTATTCCTGTGGCCAGAAGGATCCTAACATTTGCATCAGCTCCCACCCCCCCTCAGCCCTCTACCCTCTCCTGGCTCCCCACTTCACTTAGAGCGACTGGAGTTACCTCCAGCGAGAAGGCCCTATGCCACCAAACACCCACACATCCCTCCTCACCCCTCTGCCCTCATCTGCCACTGCCATGCCTCTCTCTCTCACTCTGCTCCAGCCACACTGGCCTTTGCGCAGTTCCCGGACCACTTCAGCGTGCTCCTGCCTCAGGGCCTTTGCACTGGCTGTTCCCTCTGCTGGAACATTCTTCTCCCAGATAACAGCCTGGCTCGCTCCCTCACCTCCTTCAACTGTTTACTCAAGAGACAGCTTCCCGAGCACGCTATTTAATACTACAAGCTGTGGCCTCCTCCCTGGGTCTCCCAGACTCCTTCACTCTCTGCCCTATTTTTGTCCATAGCACTCACTCCTTGTAATATAAGATGTTCCTAGTTATTGAGTTTATCGGCCCTCTCCCCCCACTGGAATTTAAGTTCCATGAGGGAACAGACCTTGTCTGTTTGGCTCACTGCTGTATCCACAGACTCTAGAACAGTGTTTAGTAAAGAGTGGCTGAATGAATGAATTCTGGCCGGTTCTAGGCGGGCGTTCTGTGGGCCGGGCACTGGAGCTGAGAGGTAAGGTTTCATTAACATGGGAAAGATGCCAAGAGATTTTCCTCCGTGGAAAAAGCAAGAGGAGAACAGCGTGTATTTTCAGTAAGGAATGTAGAAAAGATGTGTGCATGCATATGTGTTTTAATTGACCTGAAAGAAGCAAAACACACAGCTTACTTTAAGCAAAGGGGATTTGATGTTTCCTTTTTTACCCCTCCTACACGAGTGAGAAGTGGAACCTTTCTCATGGAATGGACTTCTAGAACTGGCTGGGAGGAGAAGCGGTTTCTTTCTTTCTTTTTTGAGGAAGATTAGCCCTGAGCTAACATCTGCCGCCAATCCTCCTCTTTTTGCTGAGGAAGACTGGCCCTGAGCTAACATCCGTGCCCATCTTCCTCTACTTTATGTGTGGGACGCCTGCCACAGCATGGCTTGCCAAGCGGTGCCAAGTCCGCACCCGGGATCCGAACCGGTGAATCCCCGGCCTCTGAAGTGGAACGTGTGCACTTAACCGCTGCACCACCGGGCTGGGCCCTTCTTTCTTTCTTTTTAGAGATGCATTTCCTTTCTCTTCCTATGACATCCCTTGCCCTCAGTGGGAGGGTAAGCCCATAGTTGGCCTGTGAGCCGGCTAAAGCCATATAAGGCTGCCACTGCCCTTGTACCGCTCTGTAAGGACGGAATTTTCTAGTGCTGTCCACAGTGGTAACCACTAGCCACAGGTGGCCATTGGAATTTAAATTTTAACTAAATTAAAAGTTTAGTTCCTTAGTCACACCAACCACATTTCAAGTGATCAACAGCTGGTGGCTACCATATTGGACTGCTCAGGTCTAGAACATTTCCATCATCTCACAAAAGGCTGTTGGAGAACGCCACCCTAGACACACACATGCATCCGTCCCCCAGGCAAGAATGGAAGCCCCAGGAGAGCAGGACGTTGCTGTGTCCACTGCCATCCCCTCGGTGCCGAGCCCCGTGTCTGGTGCCAGAAGACCGTAGTGAACATTGAGTGGATGAATGAATGAAAGAATAAATGAATGAATGCCTTTTAACTTTGATATCATTAGGGGTTATCTTGTGAGGGAGCTCCTGGTTCATTCTGTTTCTTTTTTGTTCCTCTCTATATTAAATAGATTATATATATAATATGTATATATATATACATGTACATATGCGTGCATTTTTCTGTCTATATGTGGCTAACCCGAGAAAAGAGACCAAAAAATACTGACACTGGGAATTCCCCAGCAAAAATGGTCCAGACACATCAGCCTGCAGTGAAGTTCACGGTCAACAATTCTACTCATGTAGTCACAAGTTCACCACTTCCAGAGTTTGGCACCCACATTCCCAACTGTGAACAGACTACCACGAATTCCTAGCCATCAGAGAAGGCCCCCAATAAGCAAGATACAAAGAAATGGAGGGTGGCGACTTGGAGGAAACACAGCACGTGGACAGGAGAAAATGTGAAAAAACCAACAACTACCGTTAAGATCCTCAGAGAAACGAGACAAGATCCTGCAACGTTGAACCAGGAATAGGCTAGTATAAACATTCAAAGATAGAAAAAACAGAGTTCTTAGAATGCCATGGGGATGCGATTCAAAGGTCCAGCAATGAAAACAGCTGAAGACACACTGCTGAGAAATGCCACACACTGAGGATGGGGAAAAGCAAAACAAGTCACCTACAAGACTCAGGAATCAGAGTGACTTTGGATTTTTCCACAGGAACCCTGGAAATTAGAAGACAATGGAGGATGCCTTCGAAATTCTGGAGGAAAATGTTCTCCTGCCCAGAATTTTATACCCAGCCAGATGAGTAGAGAGTAGAGATGTTTTTTTCCCAGATATGCAATGTTTCTAAAATTTTACCCCCATGTGCCTTTTGTCAGGAAGCTCAAAAGAACAGGAAAGCAAAACCCAGGAGGAGTGAGAATTGGGATACAGCAAGGATCCAAACCCCGGGGGAAGTGAAGGGATCAAGATGGCCATGCACCAGACTGGAGCTGGCCAGAGGCCATGAGAGAAACCTCTTCAGTGAGATGAAGTTAATGGAGTACCTGGTGCGTCTGAATCTATGAAG